ATGCAATTAGAAGCCAAAGTGGCGGATTGTATTTCCTAGATGCGCCCGGAGGCACAGGCAAAACTTTTCTTATTTCACTTATTTTGGCAAACATACAATCACAAAAAAATATTACACTGGCAATCGCATCATCCGGAATTGCGGCAACTCTTTTAGATGGTGGCCGAACAGCGCATTCAGCACTGAAATTGCCGTTGAATATGCAAATTACTGAGACACCAACATGCAATATCAACAAAAATTCTGGAATGGGTAAAGTACTCCAATCATGTCAACTCATTATATGGGACGAATGTACTATGGCACACAAAAAAGCATTGGAAGCGCTTAATCGTACACTAAAAGATTTGAGAGGAAATGAACAACTCTTCGGTGGTGCACTCATTTTATTATCTGGTGATTTTCGACAAACTTTACCAGTTATACCACGTTCAACACCCGCTGATGAACTTAATGCATGTCTCAAATCATCAGTTTTATGGCAACACGTACAGAAATTGACTTTGAGGACCAATATGCGTGTACAACTACAACATGATGCATCCGCTGAATGTTTTGCAAAACAATTGTTGGATATTGGTGATGGGAAAATGGCAATCGATGATTCCACAAAATGTATCACATTGCCAACAAACTTCTGTAAAATCACAGCAACCACAGAAGAATTGATTTACAAAGTTTTTCCAAATATCGCACAGAATTACAAAAATCATCAGTGGCTCAGTGAACGTGCTATATTAGCAGCCAAAAACAACGATGTCAATGCCATCAATTTCAGTATTGAAAACGAAATACCAGGCGAAGCAACAACATATAAGTCAATCGATACTGTAATGAATCAAGAAGAAAGTGTCAATTATCCAACTGAATTCTTAAATTCATTGGATTTGCCAGGCATGCCGCCGCACATTTTAACATTGAAAATTGGCGTGCCTATCATTCTTCTCCGAAACATCAATCCGCCACGACTTTGCAACGGTACCAGGCTTTCGGTGAAAAAGATGATGAACAATATCATCGAAGCTACAAT